AGTTCTGCTGGGCTGAAATTCACTGGAAAACACAGCGATGAGGCTGAATAAGGTATCACAGTACAGTGCAAATTATGGAGAACGTGCAAAGTCTTGATTATACAATTGATAGCTCTTGATTATCAGTGGAAAATGAGATTCGTAATTTAACTACTAAAGTTCATGGAAAACGATGTTTGATGTAGACTAGTGGCATGGGAGAATTAAAATGCTTTTTCTCTCCTGATTCATTCTTATTCAGGAAAGCTGCAATAGGAAAGGCGCAGTATGAGAAGCAGGAAGTGGTGGCTGAGAACTGGAAACAGCTTACGATGGAAGAGCCCTTTGACATTTGGCAGCACAACAGTCTCTTCACTGCTTTGAAGAACACTGCTTCCTATCTGTTGTTTTGCGACTGACTTGAACAATATATATAAGTGTGTTGCTATTAGACTCATCTATCTCCACCATCAAAAGGAAAAGAATGAATATATGAGGTTTGGTAATGTGTTGTTTATAAACTCCACAGCCCTGACTTTTGTCTTGGCCTCTTAAACAGACCATGAATACTGGGTCTCTTGTGTTTTTCGGCGATGGGCTATAGTAAATTAAATTTCACCACTGCATAGCATCAATTAAAATATTGTTAAGAATGCCGACTGCAAAGCAGGTGGCTGAAGGCTTTCAGCCCTCTATGTTTGTACACAGGATCGATTTTCCTCAAGGAGCGCTGTAGAAACCAATAGTTCCACTTTCCCAAAGAATTCATTTGTGCAAATACAGTTTCATTGTGGCAATTCTAACACCTACATTGGCTGGTCAGTAGGGTTGGGCGATATCTGGCTTTCAACACTGTGATGCACCACCAGCTAAACATCATAACGTACTGGCTTTGCGGCTTTTCCCACATTGTGATTTTTGCACAGCGTACACACACATACACACACCATGATTCACAATATATTGGCAGGTCTAAAATTGCAAAACCGATGTGGGCTTCAAAGCAGTTTTGGACGATGTATTGATTTATCGCCCAGTCCGACTGGTCACCTCACTTTCCTGTGAAACTAATGGTAAAATAGGGACCACCTGAGTGTAGTGAACTCCAACTTCCATCAAGTCCATCCAGTAATCACTGGTAACCGAAGATGGGAGCTGTGGTCCAATGGCTAGGAGGCTGCTACAGGTTTTCCATCTCAGCTAAAATATATAGCAACCAAAACCAAAGTCTAAGAAGTCTTCCACTGCCACAAAATGCCTTAAAAAAACAAAAAAAACCCCCTACTTTCACCTTTAAACACAAATACTCATCAAGTTAAACTTTTGCATCATATGGCAGAGATAAGTGCATACCAGATCTGAATGCTCAACATTGTTTACATTTCTCTTTCACAAGCATCCCCACCCACTCAAACTTCTTCTTACACAGATGTCGAAAGGAGAAACAGGAAAAAAATATATATTGGGCACAAACATTTTTGCTGAGCGTACGATCTGGTTTGGATCACGACGCTATAAATACATCAACGAATCACTTGGTGAAAGTGAGAAAGGTTTGCATTGTGATTTAATGTTTCATTAGCTGAAATGGGGTCAGCATTTCGACAGAATTGTTACAGGGCAGATGGCAGCTTGTATACTCCCAACGGCGCTGCCTGCTTTTGCAGGATAACGCCAGTGATTATCGTTCCTTGTTATGAATGAACGTGCCAAGGCAGCTCGACACACATGCCAAGCCAGGAGCCCTCCCTGAGACGTGGTTTGTGTTCCCCCACATCTAATTTTAAATTGTGCCTTTTGTTGTACTAGCAATAATCCACATACGTTTGTGGTAAACACTTGCAGTTATCCACTTCTCCTGTTAGAAAGCCGAGATCTAACAACACAAATGAAACTGGGATGGAAACAATTGCTTTCATGATCAGCGAAAGGCAATGGCCGCTGACCAAACAGTAGCATGAGCCAGGTCAAATTCAACACAGAAAGTTCTTCACATCATACTCCTGTACATATCTAATTGGAAGGAAGTCTCAAGAACTTTAATAGAGCTTACTCCCAGATAAATGGGATAAACTGCAATTTCCGTTCACCAGGCTTGCTGGACATCTTTGCCCACTGCTATTGTGTAACACTACTGCCAAAACTCAAAGTAAGTTTCCGCTATTGTTTCAAGTATTAATAATGTACTGCTTTCAAGTGTTCCGCCATACACTTGTCACAGTTGGGTCACAGGATCTGAAGCCGGCTGACACATTTTACGGTAGTAGGTTTTGTTAAATGAAGTATCCAGGCTTAGAGTTTTAGGGAATTAAAGTGGGTCCTACAAATAGTTTCATTAGCAAAATATGGTCTGAAGCTCAACATCAAAAAAACGAAGATCATGGCCACTGGTCCCATCACCTCCTGGCAAATAGAAGGGGAAGAAATGGAGGCAGTGAGAGATTTTACTTTCTTGGGCTCCATGATCACTGCAGATGGTGACAGCAGCCACAAAATTAAAAGACGCCTGCTCCTTGCGAGGAAGGCGATGGCAAACCTAGACAGCATCTTAAAAAGCAGAGATATCACCTTACCAACAAAGGTCCGTATAGTTAAAGCTATGGTTTTCCCAGTAGTGATGTATGGAAGTGAGAGCTGGACCATAAAGAAGGCTGATCGCCGAAGAATTGATGCTTTTGAATTATGGTGCTGGAGGAGACTCCTGAGAGTCTCATGGACTGCAAGAAGATCAAATCTATCCATTCTTAAGGAAATCAGCTCTGAGTGCTCATTGGAAGGACAGATCCTGAAGCTGAGGCTCCAATACTTTGGCCACCTCATGAGAAGAGAAGACTCCCTGGAAAAGACCCTGATGTTGGGAAAGATTGAGGGCACAAGGAGAAGGGGCAACAGAGGATGAGATGGTTGGACAGTGTTCTCGAAGCTACCAACATGAGTCTGACCAAACTGCGGGAGACAGTGGAAGACAGGAGTGCCTGGCGTGCTCTGGTCCATGGGGGTCACGAAGAGTCGGACATGACTAAACAACAACAACAAATAGTTAGCCAAATGCCCTTGCTACTGACCATGCCTAGTATAACCACCAAGTTGTGTAGAGTTGGAAGGGACCGCTAGGATCATTCTAGTCCAACCCCCTGCTTTGCAGGAATCTTTTGCCCAATGTGGGGCTCGAACCCACAGCCCTGAGATTAAGAGCCTCATGCTCTACTGACTGAGCTATCTCACAGCTTCCAGCACCGCCTATCAGTTACCTGGCACTAAGGCACTGCCTGGCAACTGGCCACAGGTATAGGCCATGAGAAATCAGTGTTCCCCAGTCCTGTCCTTGAATTTTAACCTTGCAGGATGTGCTTTTTGAACGAACATCAAGTCTCTTGCTTTAAGTCTTACGTAAAAGCAACACTATGAAATGGGCAAACAGCACCTACTAAGTTCAGTACGGGGGGAAGAAACCCGATGTTACTGAATTACAAGAATGGACAAGAAAAGTGTCCATCTTAAAAAATAAAATAAAAAGACACACAAGATACAGCGAAGGCAAAAAGACAGTCTTTTGGTCCCTGCAATAAAAGTCTGGCCACAGTACCAGGAAAGAGCACCTATTACTTACGCAAAATTTTATGTTGTAAGCCATTTAGCTTTGTTTTACAGTTACCAAATAACCCAAGCTGGCTGAAGACATAGAAAAGTTTGGGAAGGCACAGTACAAAACGGTCAGCGAAGGACAGGAGTCCTCCAAGTCTCTCTGGCTGGAAAATGAGCAGCTGAACATTTTTGGGAGGAGAGTGCCAAACTCCTCCACAGCAGTTGGTGCTCCCGGCTGAAATCAAAAGCCCTTTGTCACTGTAGGCGGCCTGATGATAGCCCCATGCCTCTCACCTTCCAGTTCACGTGGGGTCAAAACTGTTGCTGTGCCAAAGTGGAACCTGAGGAACAGTAATTTCTCAGTACTTCTCTCATATTATTGTAAAAGACAATCCAGTTTATGATCAGTCTTCTTAAATGCCATCGCATATCATCACAGTTCTTTTTTTGTTAACCATTTTCTTCCTGGCATCTTTTTAGGGACTTTGAAGAAATTAGTTTTTAAAGTCTTCCATACTTCCAAATACCACTCATCAGTGTTTAATAAGCAGCTGAATGCTCTACTAGGTGGGATTATATTTGAAATAAGCCTAGTTCTCTCTCTCTCTTTTATTTTTTTTTTGTAATAGGCTTGTCCATAATAGTTGATCTACACACCAAGTTGCCCTATTATCATTATTATTATTTATTGAATTTATATACCACCCTTTACCTGGAGGTCTCAAGATACCCCTATGGTATCTGCAACCTCATCAAAGCATGAAACTGTGGGGCATTGCAAGTTTTATAAAGAGGCTCTACAACACTCCACTCTTGCCAGTAGAGAGAAAGTTAAGATTAAAATGAAAAACCACACCTTATCGGAAAGCAAGCTCATACGTGAGAGCTTTGACCTGCAATTACCATATTTCTCTCTCCATCAGATGCACCTGACCATAAGACGCATCTAGTTTTTAGAGGGGGAAAGCAGGGAAAAAATATTCTGCGCAGAGCATGTAAGCGGCTCTCACTTTTCTTGCTTTAAACCCTTACGTCCCTCCTCCCACTTCGCTGAGAAGCCAGCAGAGCAAGAGCGATAGGCGCGCAGTACCTCTTCTTCTTCTGGCTTCCCAGCATATCGGGATGAGGGACGAAAGGGAGCCCTTACAAGGGAGCGCTGAGCAGAGCCTGGCAGCGGCTCTTGCTGGCTTTTCCGGGAGGTGGGGTAAGGGACAGAGGGCAGCCCATCAGTCCCTTCTCCCACCTCGCGGAAAAGCCCCCGAGAGCTGCACACACGCTCCGCGCGGCTCTTTAAAGAGAGCACGGCTCCAGCAAGAGCCTCCCACCTGCATTCGCTCCATAAGACGCACACACATTTCCCCTTACTTTTTAGGAGGAAAAAAGTGCGTCTTATGGAGTGAAAAATACGGTACACAGGGTTATATTGAGAAGTGTGAGCTAGGGGCTGAGGAAGGTGTACACTGGGCAAACAAATTCCTTTTGCAGGTGTGTGTGGGGGGGAATAAATGGAGAGTGAAGAAAACCTGCTATTTCTCACTCTCCATTTATCCCCACCACCACCACCACCTGAACACCCAGTAGGTTTTCCTTGCTTAGCTGGCTCTGGGAGCACCCCTGAGTCCTCCTCCAACGTTCCCAGAGCCTGGCAAGCAAGCATTCACCTCACTGATGGGTTGTTCCAGGGGTCTCTGCCTTTGCCCAATGTTGCAGTTCCCTGTGGACCCCCAGAACTGAAACTTCACTCATGTAAGTGGCAGGGCTGCTGAACACCGAAACAGCAACCACTACCGTATTTTCCCGTGTATAACATGCCCCCATGTATAAGATGCCCCCTATTTTGGGGGACTAAAGCCTTTGGGGGGGGGAATGCCGAAAATCACTCAACTGACTGACAAGATGCTACCAATTGCACGTGCAACATAACCCACCGAGCGTCTGCCAGATCGCCGCAAACAGCCACAAATCACACACACAATTGCCACAGCAGCAGCCACCAATCCAAAGGAGCCACCAGCAGACACCATTCACACACCCAATCACAGCTTAAAAGCTCCTGCTCGCGACATCAACCAAACACCCGTCCCCCCTCTGCACTATCTGTGTATGAGATGACGAAACCCCCCCCCCCATTTTTAACATTCTTTGCAGTAAAAAAACATCATCTTATACACTGAAAAGTACGGTATATCCACTGACACAGCAGATGGAGAAAGTACAAAGGTGATGGTCATTGTTTCCTCTCTCCGCCCTCTCCTTCACATGGTCGCAAAGTAAGCTGCTCCCATAGATGATGATACAGCACGTTGCCTAAAGCCAAGTTCAATAGTGTAACTGGTGAGATCCGTCAGATGGACTCCCTGCCTTCACACAGCAGAGGCCGGCATCACGTACTTGGGTCTAAAGGACTTTGCTATGGCTGGAGGGTAATCTAAATAGGTCCGCTTCCATCATTCCACTAGCACAGGCCACCAACTTCAGTGCAGAAGGAATGAAACCACTGCATTCCCCAGCATCAAAGAGCCCGCAAACAATCTCAGAAAACCCTAAGGTACCTTTAAACAACCAAGTCAGCAGTGGCTTTTTAAGGTTTAACAAACCACGTTTCCAGAACGGCGTGTTCCATTGTGATTATTTGCCAGGTACAATCATAAGACAATTTTTTAACATTATAAGCCATATTGTTTGGATAATTAATCATAGATAATTTAGTTATTTACATATCTATATATACATACACTTAATTTTTCTGAATTAAAAAAAAAAGTCAAATAAGGCCAAATAAGGTAGTCTTGATTTACTGAGGTTCTTCAAAACCCAAGGTCAACATTTCAGAAGTTGACTATTTTTCCAGCTCCAGTGTGTATGGGTTATACTCCTCTTCAAGCTTCCGCTTCCAGATTTTAACTAGGGGAAAAAATGTATGAAGGTTAGAGTTACATTTTTTTTCAGACTAACAAATGCAAGGACAGCTATGGGGATGCAATGCTTTGTTTGAACCACAGCCTTGAGAAAACTGCATTTGGAAATGCTTTCATACACATTTTAAACCTCTGAATTGCTTTATCAGCCAGTGAGATCCCCAAACACTTGATAATTCAAGGACTCAAGGATTAGCCTCCTTACACAGGAAACAAGATAATCTAGGCAGCGGAACTGGGCCATGTTTAAAGAAGGGGAAGGACAGAGGCTCCATGTGATAAGAGCTTTGCTTAATTTGTTGTCAACTGTCAGTTATCTATTTTGTATTGCTTTTTGTTATGCTCTTCTATGAAAGAAAGCATAAGCTAGAGAGCTCTGTCAAATGAACTTCTATAATGCCCAGTCGAATCTATCGTTTGAAGCAAAGTTTATCAGCTGAAATTAGAAAAGAGCATGCAGCTAACACTGGAAGCCGTAGAGGGCAGCAAAGCGAGATGAACAGCCCCATATGTTCCAGGACACAAGAGAAAGGAACAGCTCGCTTTCACTCTCCCTCCGAGACACAGACAAGCAACAGTCAGACTGGCAGGGCTCCATCTGAAAACAATCACACGGTAGCTCAGTGGCTCAGCACTCTGAGCCCCAGAACTCCGGAAAGATCAGTGAAGGATTTATCCTGTTGTAGAGGAAGTGCGATGCTCTCACAAAGTGATGTTTGGCATCCGCAAAATAAACTTGGTGGTTGCCATCGCATCAATATTTCCCATGACTGGTCAAATGCAGCAAAACGATAAAATAAAAATATTTCGACCCGTATGAAGAAAAAGGGAAGGGTCTGTAAACCTGAAGAATCACTGACAGCAGGTGCAAAGAAATCACGTTCTCAGCTGGAGGTAGCTTGGAACTGAGGTAGATTTCTGCAGGGGGATCCTACAATGTTGATTAAGTTTGGTACCCAAAGATGATGGATGGGCAAGAAGGTTGGCAGGCCTGAGAGTGTTTACCATAATGCCAGCCTTCAATACAACAACTGAGATGGACAAAGCAACACTTGTTTTGCTTGTCAGGTTTGTTTTCCCCAGACAGGCCAACACCATTTTTCTATTTCCCTCTCTCACACACTCCTTTGTGTAAGGGTATCATAGAGCTCCCTGCACACTGTGCTGGTCACCCACCCCAAGAGGCCTTGCTATAGCAATTTCATAGCCAGAAGAGACTGGTTGGGGGCAGTCACTCATATTTATGTGGCCGAAGTCACTGTACTCAGCAGCACAAAAGGCAACACACATGGACATGAGATTGTTCCTTTTTTCTGAAGCGAGCAAAGTTAGCACCAGCATATCTGACAAATCAAGAAAGACCAGAAATTAAAGAGTTGCGTCAGACCATTCATGTTCCAAACCAGGGGTAGGCAACCTAAAGCCCGGGGGCTGGATGCGGCCTAGTCACCTTCTCAATCCGGCCCGCGGACAGTCCGGGAATCGGCGTGTTTTTACGTGAATAGATTGTGTCCTTTTATTGAAAAAGCACCTCTGGGTTATTTGTGGGGCCTGCCTGGTGTTTTTACATGAGTAGAATGTGTGATTTTAATTAAAATGCATCTCTGTGTTATTTGTGGGGCACAGGAATTTATTCATCGCCCCCCCCAAATATAGTCCGGCCCCCCACATGGTCTGAGGGACAGTGGACCGGCCTACGGCTGAAAAAGGTTGCTAACCCTGCTCCAAACAGTCAAGATGGCCGATTAATACCAGAGAGAAGACTGCCCACATTAAATCACGCACACACACAACTCACTGTAATTTGGGACATCCTCATCAGACTCTGGAAGGGGCACTTCACCAGCCTCTAGGGGACTGGGCTCTCTACAAAGGGTTTTCAAGTTTGCAGAGTCACTTTCCTTCTCTTCTTCAGCTGACTCTTTCTGCAATGCTGCAATCATTTCCTTATAGGCCAGCCTCGCTTCCATTGTCAGCTCCACCATTTTGTGAAAATAGTCCTAGGGGTATAAAGGCAGCGAGAAACTAAGATCGGATTTTGGGTTAGCGCTTCGCCAAGCTTCCAGCATTTTCTCCACAAACCCAAGAAGGTAACGTGCTCCACAATTTTATTTCACACTAATGTTGAAAGAGGAGAAGATCAAAGATCCCAAAATTGTTGTTCAGTGGTCCCAGCAGCAGAACGCTGTTGAGGATTTATTTGTCAATTCCCCCTAAGCTCTATTTGTTCAGGTAACTGCGCTCAAACGTGCGGAGGGTGATGGGAAGGGCACTAGTATGAAAGTAAATAGAACACCTCAACAGGGCTAAGGTGATTTAAGGACACAGTACTCCCAGACAAGGATGGTTAATATTTTTAAACATTTCAGCATGAGCGGCCAAAGACTTTAAAAGCTTCTACAGTGGTACCTTGGTTCTCAAACACCTTGGTACTCAAACAACTCGAAACCCAAACACTGCAAACCCAGAAGTAAGTGTTCCGGTTTGCGAACTTTTTTCGGAAGCCAAATGTGCTCCATTTTGAGTGCCACACTTCCGTTTTGAGTGTTACGCTGAGGTCTGTCTGTTTTTGCTATTTATTTTGTGTTTTTGTGGCTCTTTTTGTGACTGTGTGTTCAGCTACGGATTGATTGTATGACTGTAGTACACTGTTCATTTTATGGATCAATGGTCTTGTTAGATAGTGGAATTCATGTTAAATTGCTGTTTTAGGGGTTGTTTTTAAAAGTCTGGAACGGATTAATCCGTTTTGCATTACTTTCTATGGGAAAGCGCACCTTGGTTTTGGAATGGACTTCCGGAATGGATTAAGTTTGAGAACCAAGGTACCACTGCATTGAAACTGAAATGCATAATGCAGAACGGTGCAACGGCAGCTTTCGCGCAACTCACCTGAGCGCCATCGTAACTGAAAATCCCCACCACGCTGACTGGCACGGCTTTGTTCACGCAACGCCCAAGAGCTTTGCGATTGAGAGCAAACACAAATGGGATGTTCTGTTCACAAGCGGAGTCAATGATGAGATGCAGAGTCTCATCCAACCCACCTGGGGTAAAACAAATAAGAGGATTAAAAGCAGGTCAATTTCATTAGCATTGCTGGCAAAAGGGCTTCATTCGCCCAGATACATCTTAAGAGAAAACCAGCATTGCTTGTTCTTTCAGCTACACCCCTCCACCGGAAATCTGATCTGCATTTGCTTCAGTTCGTGATACTTTTAATAGAAAGGCTCACCCTTTGACTGGATTCTTTCACAGTTGGGGGAAATGATGACACATTTCAACTTTTTCAGCTTCAAGTGTTTCAGCACTTCTCTGAGCCCCATAACAAGCCGGCGCTTCGTCTTGGCCTTGACTGGGTCCTTCTGATAAAGGCGGTCTTGGAAGCGCACCAATTCTTTCAAGAGATCTGTTACGCAGCTGTCAACCTCTTTGCTGAGAACTTGGGTGCAGTAACTAAAGAAAGAACCAATTGTTTCAGAACCAAGTGTCTGCTTCTCCCCACGTTCCTTTCTTTCTCATCCACTCTATCCAAAGACACACACACACACAAAATTAGCAAACTATATCCAGAAGTAATTAGCATGTTTGTGTCAGTAAGCCTTTCAACTGATGTCAGCGACTGGGCTCAATAACTGGTTCTGCCCTGACGGGGCTAAGCGACTGGAGCACTTTCAGAGACCTTCCAATCCTGGAAAGCAGGTCCCAGTGCACTGGACCCACAACTGTGCATTGTGAGCACCAGACTCGTGCAGACTATAAATAACACGGAAGCTAGCTGTGAAGCATAACTCCTTTTATTTCTAATAGCTGCTACAAACTAAAGAACTACTGGCTTGCATGAATGTTACAGCTCCCACTCAGTCATCTAGTCACTACATAGATAAGACTCTCTCCACACACAGTCAGGCAGGCAGTCAGGAGCGGAAGAGCTGAAGAGCAGTTTCCGCCCCCTCCTTTCTCAAAACATCAGATCAGGAGATTTTGTCAATGGGAGGGGTTAAAATATCAACAGTTTGATATTTGAAGGTCGAGAAATCCATGTCTGACTAAGGGTCAAAAGCCTTCATGTAAACACATTAGGACATGGGTCAGCAAACTAAGGCCCAGGGGCCAGATTAGGCCCAATTGCCTTCTGGACCCGGCCCACGGATGGTCTGGGAATCGCCGCATGGAACGCCAATGTGCGTGTTCTTTCCCTCTCCCTCACACGGCGGCGGCGCCTCCTCCTGGCTTCTCCCTGCCCTGCCTAGAGGAGGAAGGAGGCTGGGCTTTGTTGGTGCCAGCAACAGCAGCGCTCGAGCGGCCGCCATTTTAAGAAGCCCCTCTCCGGAGCCCTTTTGCACACCACTCATCGTCCCTCCGCCACAGCCAGCCCCTGCTGCTCGCAGGACACAGGTACGCAGCCACCAGGGCTCATGGTGCTCTTGCATCATTCTTTCCCCCAAAATATAGTCCGGCCCCCCACAAGGTCTGAGGGACAGCGGACCGGCCCCCTGCTGGAAAAGTTTGCTGACCCCTGCATTAGGATATCACATTCAAACTGAGAGGCACCCCACTAAGCTCAACAACAAAAATACATGGACAGGATTGGCACAACCAACACCAGAATACTTACTCTCTAAATCTTCGGCTGTGGATTTTGGGAAGGTTGGAATTCAGCTGTGTTGGGACAGGGGAATTATTCGTGGATCCACTCAACGCTGTACATTCCAGTGACACATCTGAACTATCTTGGGCTGCAATTGCAGGATCTGTAGGGCCTTCATCTGCGCTTTCTGAATCCAAAGGAAAGTCAAATACAAAAGGGATTATTTTTGTTGAAGAGGAACTTCAGATCGCTATTAGAAACCTTAGGAGCTTGTTTCAGTTTCAGCCCAGGGTCAAGATGAAAATGGCATGAAATAAATGTGCTTAAAAAAAAGAAAAAGAAGCCCTGAACATATATGAAGGGATAACTGCAAAAAAGACAGACAAGGCCCTGGCCTAGGACAGTTAGGCTGTTTTTACAGATATCCATTTACAGTTTAAGCAACTTTTAGATTTAGGGGGAAACAACAGCTAGACCACAAAAGAGCATGGCCTGCCTTCCATATTTATGATTTGCAGTTTAAAGTAGGCAGAATGTCAGTTTTAGCAGTAAAAAATTCTAATAACTACACAAATTATTCAATACTACTAGAGAGCTACTCCAATGATAAATAGGGTCACATGCACTGTTTTGACCACAGGGCTTAAAAATGCATATTAAAAAACATACAAGCAAATCATTACACAATGTAGAGAAATACATGAAATAAAGGGATTGAAGCCAATTGCGCAGAGAACTGTCTCGACAGCTATTTCTGCCAACGGCAGGCAAAATCTCCCATAGGATGTTGGAGCAAATAAACTGAACAAGGCAAAACAAAGGAAGAGGTGTCAGCCTGTGACTTGGCAGACCTTTCCATTTCAAACTTCCACTTCTTCTGAAAAGGCATTTGTTCAGGAGGAAATTCAATTCCAGTCCCAAACAAGAATACTCAGTTAATCTTTTGGAGGTTTAAGGAATAAAACGGGTAGAGAACAATCCCAGGTTTGGTCTTGGTTACAGTTTGTAGTTAGTAGGAAAGCTTTGCCATGAATCTGAGGTTCAGACAACATGCTAAGCCAAGCCTAGGCTCAGTACAGCAGTAAAAAGGACAGGAGAAGAGAACAGTGGGTGTGATCTCCTCTCCAGGAGTTCACGTAGTCTCACTAAATCATCGTTTGAATTACCATGTATTGCAACCAGCTCATTTTCACCTTTATTTTACATTACTGTGGCAGCTGCATCTCAGAAAACACTATCGCAACAGCTATCCGGCAATATGGGGTGTTGAATTTTTCAGCTTTCAAATTCCAAAAATGAGGGATGCTAAAAAGTTGTAACATGACTTGGGAATTCAAAAGATGTTTTGGTAAAATTAATATAATGTAGCTTTGCTAAATTATATACACATGAGAAACGTTAACGGCTACATCAGAGGCCAAGAAGTAAGTTGGCAGCTGATGTCCAAGAAGTAATCAAAGCAATACTTGATTAAACTAGTTGATTAAATTTATTATTAAAGGATGTCATTACTTTCTAATATCGTTTTATGAATACAAGATAATGTTGTAGGCTTAGTAGGGTATGTTTTACGTGGAGAAACAATTCTTTTTTATAGCATTACCTGACATTTTCATAAGATAAAATTCTTTGGTTTTCTGAGAGCAGTTTATGCACTTTTTAATCACAGATTTACCAAACTAAATGTTGTCCGGTCACAAAAACAATAGCAGATTTGAATTCCTCACACCCAAAAACCAATTTTAAAGAATGCTCACTGAAGAAATTTGCAAAAGCAGCATTTCCCTGCTTTGACACCCCCTGGACAGAAATGAAAACGAGCAGCACCCCTGATTCAAGAGGTACCTGGTTTGGTGTCCTCAGAAAATGTCTGATTCTCAGTCATCTCAGAAGTTGCACCCTGCTGGACAGCATCACTCTCATTTGGTATCGCCGTCAGTTCCAAAAGGTGCTGCTGTTTCCGCTGTTCTCTCTCTTTCAAAATAATCTGAAAAGGAAACACTTCATTGCAATATAGTTTCCAGACAAAGTTCTTTATTTCTGAAATACTTTTTTGGCACAATGTATGTACTTTACAGCCTTTAATGTTTACTTTTCCATGGGAGGTGGGAGAAGGCTTGATTTAATTTTAAGAGTTTGGCAATTTTTAGTTATCATTCAATTTGCTTATCTGCGGCAACTGCTTTACACCACTGATAAAGCAGGCAAGTTGCTAACTGCATCTCCACTTATAGCCATTTAGGGAGAGACCTCTTTCAAAAATTAAATTGATGGGAACACTCTTAAAATATTCTCCTTTTTAAATTTTGTTCTAGTTCATATAAGCAATACATGACGGTTCTACTGGCAGACTGAAAGGTGGGTCACATGAGAGTGCTAGTGTAGAAAACATTAATATAATCACTGCAAGCTATCCTTTCAAATCACCTTTGGGCTGTTCTAGTCTTATAAGGAATGGATTAACCCCAAATTAGATCTGCTCACTTCCCTCCCACCTCTGGGATTAGATAAGATTACATAGTTTAATTAGTCCTCTCCCACAGCAACAATCTGAAAGTACTTCACACTTTTTCCAATTATTTTTTTTTTAATAAAAAAGACAAAGTTATAGCCAGGCACAAACCAAAGTAAGAAATACCGGTCTGGCTAAATTCTAAAAGGCAACAGCTACACTAAACTTTGATAAAGGATTATTGCTTGTTGTACCTTTTTGAGCGACGTTGGCTTCTTCGCTTTAGGGACTTCTCTCTGCTTTCCCTTCTTAACCAAGGGCGCACTCGAGTCCAACGGGTTATGTGGGGTCTTCCCTTGGTTTAATTGCTGACTTTTGGTTACCGTCACGGGTTCCTTGGAATGCAATGGTACTGCGCTACCAACTAAAACAAAAGCAAACCTGCTATCAGGTGACAATGGCCAAGTCTGAAATCCATACTTGACCGGAAGCAAGCACAATCAGTATCAATTGGGACTCTTCTGAACAAATATGTTTAGGATTGGAGCATAACTCGGTTTTAGCACTCAGCTCAGCACACAAGCAATACAGACACCCAGGTATACGTATAAAGAATGCATTCCTTTCCCGATTCAGCACATTACAAAGTGTGCTTAGCTTCGTCAGTGTGGCTTTCAATTTCAGCAGGTCGGTACTGTGAATGCTGCATTTTTGTAAAATACAGTGGTACCTCGGGTTACATATGCTTCAGGTTACATATGCTTCAGGTTACAGACTCCGCTAACCCAGAAATAGTGCTTCAGGTTAAGAACTTTGCTTCAGGATGAGAACAGAAATTGTGCTCCTGCGGCGCAGCAGCAGAAGGCCCCATTAGCTAAAGTGGTGCTTCAGGTTAAAAACAGTTTCAGGTTAAGTACGGACCTCCGGAATGAATTAAGTACTTAACCCAAGGTAGCACTGTACCTCATTACTTAAATCTACTATAATCTTTAAATAAAGATTCTTATTTATGTATCTGAAAAATACAGTAAAGGTAAAGGGACCCCTGACCATTAGGTCCAGTCGCGGACGACTCTGGGGTTGCAGCGCTCATCTCGCTTTATTGGCCGAGGAAGCCAGCGTACAGCTTCCGGGTCATGTGGCCAGCATGACTAAGCCACTTCTGGCGAACCAGAGCAGCGTACGGAAACGGAAAATACAATATGGCAAATACTCGGGAAAGGTCAGTGGCAGATCATCTATTTTGCATGCAAAAGGTCCCAAATAGGGCAGCAAATGTCTGAAACTCTGGAGAATCGCGGTCAGTCAGTGTCAGCTAGCTAGAGCAATGGTCTGAGTCAGGATAACACAGCTTTTGATGTTACTGAAAGTATTCAATAGTAAACAGTCTGGTTTAGAATTCTTTCTGGACAAATGCTACTAAATTCTCTACGAATTTCTTTCACCCATGTGTTGCTCTCCTTCCAGAATGTGCTTAAGCCCAATCCTTGATATCACTTATTGCAAGCAAAGCAGTTTTGTAATTGCATTGCATGGAAGTAATACTTAGAGGAATCATTAAACATTAGCACTTTATCTCAGTGGAGACATCTGCTGCATTTATTCTTTCCCAAAGTGCACTTCAGATCTGTGAACAAAGTCTGACATGATTTATTGTGGACAACTTGCATGGTACATTAGAAGTGGTTACACAAACCCTTTGCTGATTTAACAGCTGTTTTATCCTCCACATGGATGCATGCCATCTTTTGACAATTTCTATACTGATAGCAATCTAATTCTGTGAATACTGAAAAATCCATAACACTTTAAGCACTATTTCCCCACCACTTTTGGAAAGCAATGGTAAAGAATTTCCATCAGCATAACTTTATGTGCTATTATACAGACTGCGATTAGCAATGGGAGCTTCTGCAGTACACTTTGTATTGTACTTGGACTTTCTTAGATGCCGGATGAGTAGAACCTTCCTTCAAAAGATAGGCTGTTACTTTGAAATGTGGACTTGGACTCCAGACTAAGGCTTTCAAAGTATAGCATGTAAAATCTGACAGTTACCTATTTATAGCCAATCATTTTGATAAGACTCTCTCCCAGCTATTGAATTACAAAAAAACAACAACCTGTAGAAACTGACTATCCTTAATTTTCATAAATAAAAACCACCACCTGTGAAAAAGTAGACGAGAAATAGTTCCACTTCCACTAATCTCTCCTAGACATCAGTGTGTTCAGGAAACTGCAGTTCATCTTTTTTATTTTACTTCACAAAGCTGGCTTCTCTTTCATTCTGCCGGAACTTTTCCACTGTAGTGAATTCTTGCAACGTTTAGCCTACCTCAGGAGATAGCCATTAAAAAAAGAAAGAAAAAAAGTACTCTGAAAAAGCATCATACAATGAAAGCACTCTCAAAACTTCTACCTGAAAGCACCACAGGCTTGGACGGTTTTGATTTTTCCGAATATTGTTTTTGTTCCAAAGCAGCCAGCATCCCTCCCAAATCGAGCCGCACAGGATCCTGACTCTTCTTTCCACTGCTCTTGGGCGGTTGCTGCAGGAGAAGAAAGGGAAACACGTTTCTTCCCCCTTGGTCTTGCATTTTATCTAGTGAGTAAAATTTATGTGCACATGATTCATTCATAAATATTACTTTTGTTTTGAAGCAAGCCAACGTTAACGTGGAAAGAACAATTTTACCTGCATTTTCCTTTTTTCTGTTGGAGTGGGCGGCACTTGCTTGTGAGCTTTTCTTGCCAATGACGTGTCTGAATTGGGAGCTACCAATACATTTTGAGGAGAACCAACGAGAGACTCAAACCCAAATTCCCTTGTTCTTCCCTTTGAAGTACAGAAATACAAGACAAATGTGTACATAAAATATTAAGAAATAAAGGGAAATCAGTACGCTAGGTTGTAAGAAAGCATATTAAATGTACGGTAATAATTATAAGTACATTCAAAATCACAAATGTCAACTATATCGGGAAATGATGGGAAGTCTATATATTTATTTTACTTCAGTTTGTTGTTGTTTTATTTTATTTTATGTACCATTATATGATTTTAGCTTAGCTGATATCTAAGTGGAATTAGAAGGTCAAATTAACATTCTAAGTTAAACTAATTTAAGTATATATATATATAGAGAGAGAGAGTATGTATGTGTATGTGTGCAGTTAAATCTGTAATGACATTAATGAATTTCAATAAAGAATTTTTTCATTTAAAAAAAATACAAGACAAATGCTATGAACGAACAAAGAGATGTGCGCAAGCTACACTCAGATAAATATCTCAAGGGGAAGATTTTTTGAGTTTCTTTGCTGCACAGACCCACCACTTTGACAGTAGGCAGGTTCTACAGCAGAAAACAAGCTCTAGCAGTAAGGACTTCACGTTTCAAATCTCAGTGTGCTCTAGAATAGCTGCAGCATCACAAACAAAATCTAAAAAAGTTGCAACATTAAAATGTGAGAACTTGTTTTGCCACCCTCACGTTTCGTGCCCCCTTGTGAGCCACACTAGGCTTTTTGGCCATGCCATAATCTAAAATTTGATAGAGTTGCTGAGTCCTGAAATGGCTGAAGAGTAAGGATTGCCAATAAGGGAAAACAAATGGGGAAGGTTAACTAGAAGACCAAGGTAACTGAAGGTGCCTTACGTCAATGTGCTCCTTGGTAAGTGGCGTTGAACAAAACTGCTTTTGAGCGGGCCTGTATTTTTTGTCAGTAGCAGCTGCTAGGTTTGGAAATTCTTCAACGTCCTGAGGAAATGGAAATAAAGTGTTAACTTAGGCAACATTACACACACAATTTAGATTAAAAGTGGCCTTCCCCACTTCAGCACCCGGCATAGCTGTCAACTTTTCCCTTTTCTTGCAAGGAATCCTATTCGGAATAAGGGAATTTCCCTTAAAAAAAGGGAAACGTTGACAGCTGTGGCACCCCGGACTATTTGATGTGCTAGCATTGCTATGCATCCTTCATATTCTAGATCAGTGATGGCGAAACTTTTAGAGACCCGAGTGCCCAAACTGCAACCCAAAACCCACTTATTTATCGCAAGGTGCCAACACGGCAATTTAACCTGAACACCTCGCACATTAACATCTTTTGTCTTAAAAGAAAAACACAATAACAGAGCTTTCAGTGATACAAACATTTTTTTTTACTGAAAGGTAAAAGTTTGCATTTGGCATAGTAAAGGTAAAGGGTAAAGGGACTCCTGACCATTAGGTCCAGTCGTGACCGACTCCGGGGTTGCGGCGCTCATCTCGCTTTATTGGCCGAGGGAGCCGGCGTACAGCTTCCGGGTCATGTGGCCAGCATGACCAAGCTGCTTCTGATGAACCAGAGCAGCATACGGAAACGCCGTTTACCTTCCCGCCAGAGCGGTACCTATTTATCTATTTGCACTTTGACGTGCTTTCGAACTGCTAGGTTGGGAGGAGCAGGGACCGAGCAACGGGAGCTCACCCCGTCACGGGGATTTGAACCTCCAACCTTCTGATCAGCAAGCCCTAGGCTCTGTGGTTTAACCCACAGCGCCGCCCGCGTCCCTACCCTGCATTTGGCATGCTTTTGAACAATTAATGTGATTTTTGCTGTTGTACGCATGCTGATAATTTGTCTAACCTTGCTGAACTCAAGGCGGCTCACTCCCGAGTAGGAACAACAGACTGGCGGGAGGCCTTGGCGCATCTAAAGTCGACACCTGCTCAGCCCCTCGCTTGCCAGAGTCACCACGGCTCTAAATGCACCCGAGAGCAGAGCAGGAAGGTGGGTCGGGCACAACTGAGCTTGATGGTGGGCAGGCAGAACCAGCCCAGAGGCAGCTGTTAGGTTTGGTTGCAGTGGCAGATGGGCTTGGTCGGTGACTTGAGTAGCGGTGCCGCAGGCTTTGGGCAGAGTGGCAGTTTCCTGGCGTGGCCCCAAGAGTGAAAATGGTGCCCTAGCAGCACTGGGACCATGCTAGAAGTGGTCAGGAGCCTCCTGCAGAGCTGGAGCGTCAGTTTCAACCCCTAGCTACGGCCCTACTGGGCCGACGGTGCGCATGCCCACAGAGAGGGCTCTGAGTGCCCCCTCTGGCATGCGTGCCATAGGTTCGCCACCACTGTTCTAGATCTTTATTTTTTTTAAGAAATCAAACATTTTATATTGATATGCTTCTCTCTTTTCATCGATAAAGGGGGGGGGAGAGAAGTTGCTGGAAAACCACATACGACCCCTGAATTATTTGCGACGTGTAAAAAGAGCTGGTGTAGTATACAGTGGTACCTTGGGTTACATACACTTCAGGTTATAGACTCCGCTAACCCAGAAATAGTACCTTGGGTTAAGCACTTTCCTTCAGGATGAGAACAGAAATCGTGCTCCGGCGGTGCGGCAGCAGCAGGAGGCCCCATTAGCTAAAGTGGTGCTTCAGGTTAAGAACAGTTTCAGGTTCAGAACGGACCTCCGGAACAAATTAAGTACTTAACCCGAGGTACCACTGTAGTAGCTAATAGCGCAGGGATAGGCAACCTAAGGCCCATGGGCCACAACCGGCCCACAGGGGTCGTTTAACCGGCCCCCAAGCCGCCCCCGAACAAAGGCGCCTGCTCAGCAAGTCCCCGCACGCTGCGCTAAACTGGGGCAGCGCGATGCGGGGACTCGCTTCTGCAATGCCTGAAATTGCGTCTGAGCATGCTCAGATGCCGGAAATCGCAGCTGTGTACACGCAATCCAGCCCATAGAGGGATCTCCGCTGGAGTGAACCGCCCCAGACGGGGTAAACCTTGCCAACCCCTGTAATAGCGCAATCCTAACTGTGTCTACTCAGAAGTAAGTCCTTGTCATGCCAGTGGGGCTTAGTTCCGTTTAGTGGAGTTAGGATTGCAGCTGATATCCCCAGGATCTAAGAATAAGGAACTCCCAAACTCTGAACCTCTCCTCTGCCATGCAGTTACTAGGTGACCTTAGAGCACCTTCACACTATCAGTAATATGAATATATGAATGCTATTTTATCGTACAGGGTTATGGTAAGGAGTGCAATATGATAATGTGAAATGCTTTGAATGTTACAAAGCAGAATATATATGCTGAGTACTCTTAATTACAATTACAATTTTTATTATTATTATTAACAACGAGCATGACCCAGCCAATGCTAAGCACTTTCAAGTCCCATTCTGTCAACTGAACAATTAAAAATGTGTACTTCCCTGTCCCACTGGAAGTGAAAATGTGATAATCTCTGGCTGGGGCTTCTGATCAGTGCTAACACAAATCATTTCAGCTGTAGGATACTACATGAAATGCTTCTACAGTTTGCTAAGCTAACTGACTTGTGCAAAAATGCCACAGAGGAAGTTACTATTTCTGAAAAAAAACACACCATAAAATCTGAATTCACACATTCAGATTGTAAAAACAAATCCTTGTGTGGACAAATTTACTTGTTTATCTGTCTGTGATGGGGATTGTACTGATCCAAAGAAGTTAAAATATGCTTAAGGTATATCATTCAAGACTATGAGACTTGTGAGAGGCCTTGTATCATGACACTCAGATTACAATTATGAATGCCTGTAATTTATACAAGGTTATCACTACCGTGGTACCTCGGGTTAAGTACTTAATTCATTCCAGAGGTCCGTACTTAACCTGAAACTGTTCTTAACCTGAAGCACCACTTTAGCTAATGGGGCCTCCTGCTGCTGCCGCGCCGCCGGAGCACAATTTCTGTTCTCATCTGGAAGCAAAGTTCTTAACCCGAGGTACTATTTCTGGGTTAGCGGAGTCTGTAACCTGAAGCATATGTAACCTGAAGCGCATGTAACCCGAGGTACAGCACTGCAGACAGCAATCAGAAAATGACGAAAGATCCCTGCCCTGTGAAGCTTACAATCTAACAGCAAAGGAGACAGGAAAACAGCAACTTTCAACTCTTAAGTCAGATATACTAGTGTAGGGGTGGTGCGTTCCTGATGTTGGACCCAACTCCCCCCAGGCCCACCCATCATGGCCAATGGTAGGTAAGGGTTGGTGGGACATCAGAGAAGCCTTGGGGTCACATCACTAATCCTCACTTGCAATACAGGTTTTTAAAAAATGTTTAAGAACAAGGATTATGTTTTAAAAAAAAAAGTTGAAGTTATATATTTTAATATTTTATTAAATTAAAGATTGGGTTTAAAAAAGTGGAAAAGAAACTGCTGGACAAATAATGTAGATTGGAATACAAAAGAGGGAGGTATGAGGAAGTCCAGAAAATAAGTAATTTAAAATTGGGAATGGAAAAGAGAGTTTGTTTTTAATTGTTATGTTTTGTGTTTTTATTGTTAAATTCTGTATTGTTTTTCTGTGTGTGTTGTTTTTTCTTTTTTCTTTGTTTAAAACTTAAATAAAAATTATTTAAAAAAAAAAAATGTGATCTGGAAGTGCATTATGCCACATGGATTGTTAAATGCAGTACGGCCAAGGTGGACTTGTTAGACCTTATGATAATCTTTCAAAATGATTCACTGTCCTATTCGATAGATAAAAAGAGACACTGTGTCTGAGGACCAAGCATAGGTACTCCTTAATATCTGCAACTTCAAGTTGATACACAGTTTGCTTAATGGCCCATACACAAAGCTTTTGATGCAACCAGAAAACCAACTTCAGTACCTCAATTCTTGGAGGTTCTTGAACTAAAGTGATTTGGCTCTGAACTTTCTCTTTCTTTTTCTTCTTCTTCTTTTTCTTCTTCTTATCTGCCATTTCTTCAGCTTCATGGTCATTAGCATTCTCTCTTGTTTCTGACTATTGCAAAATGAGTAAAAGACGACAGGATTTTGAAAAGTTACACTCAAGCTCACATAGCAATGAAAGCTAAAGTTAAGACACTAAACTGACGGAATACAAACTCTATCTTTTTCTCATAAGCCTCTGATCTGGAATTATAGGAAATGAAAACACTCCCTAATATTTCTATCTGTCCACAAAATCTTTGTTCTGTTCCCTAAGGTCTGTTTTGTTACTGTCTGTTTCAGACTGTTCAAATCTCCACTCAGCCATGAAGCTCACTGGGTGAACTTGGCCCAGCCGCTGCCTCTTAGCCTAACCTACACCACAGGGTTGTTGTGGGGATTAAATGAAAAAGGGGAGATCCATGTGCACCATCTTGACCTCCTTGGAGAAAAAAAAATGGGATATACAATCAATCAATCAATCAATCAATCAATCAAAAGTACCTCCAGAGGGCCAGGGGACTTTCTGGAGAGGGGAGTAATAAACTTTAGTGCAGATAGCCAAAGGCTTTTCCAAATCTCATATCCATCCATACCACAAACTAACGTATAAAGCATAGTGAACACTGAAGTTGTATATAAAAATATGTCATACATATATATTTACACACCATATTTACTGCACACGAAACTCAACTCAGTTAACATTGTTAAGAGTAATAGAAAAGCTGAAGGGAAATCAACTAAAAGAACAGAAAACTGCCACGTGATTTGAGAAGCAAGAGATTATTAACAACAGGAGTCAGAGCAGGTTCAGAGAAGCGACAAGAATTGAATCCAGATTAAAAATGATCTAAACAGAAAGCAAATTAAGGCATCAAATAACATGTTCAAGAACATTCAAAAGGAAACCAAACACACAAAAATAAGACAAGCTAGAAAAAAAGTCAAAAGAAGCTTGTTTTCCACCCCAAAGTGGGAGAGACATTATAGTAAGAAGGGTAAATGCAAGAGGAATGAGAAGAGTTTAAAAGAGGAGCTAAAAAGGAATAACAGTTGGAGCAACAGATTTTAATTAAAAGGCTGGAAGACAATCTAGGACAGAAGAAGAACACAGAGCAAGATCATGAACTGAGATACAAAGTAGAAGTCTATTGGAAATGATCAGGAAAGTGGCTAGGCACAGTGCAATGAGGAAAAAGAAACTCAGGTATATATATAAGAAACTTTAGCCTCTAAGAAGTGACTGACTCAAGAGAAAGAGTGAAGTTCAATAGACATGAAGGGTGCTACAGCGAATTAAGGGTTTAAAAGAGAAAGGGAGAATTGATGTTTGTTCTTTCTGTCCCATAAGACCATTTTCTCTCAATATATTATTTTTTCAAATAAATCCACTAGGGAGTTGAGTCCGGGACTCTGGTTAGCTGCTATTCCGAAAGACAGTAACAGAACAGTGGTTTGGAAAAACCATCATCCTACCTTACGATCTTTGGGAACATCATCTTCTCCTTTACTGCCAGAATTATTACCGGCAGAAACTGTAGCTGGAGTTGAAACAACTCTCTTGGGAGCTTGCGACAGCACTGTGGCCCAAGACACAGCAGGCCAAGGGGACACCTGAGAAACTGATGTTAGACAGAACAAACTATTCACGGAACGAGACAAAGACAAATCTTTAGTGGGGCTGTGCCAAATGTTCACAGGGTTTTTTCCATTACAAAAGGTGCAATTTTGAGAGATATACAAGAAACAGCAACATTCTATATTGATCTTTCAAATGTAGCTATTTGAATGATAAAATATTGGCCCTTTTGCTTTGATGTATTATGTGCTGAAATCTAAAAAAAAATTACCGTATTTTTCGCTCTATAAGATGCACCAGACCACAAGACGCACCTAGTTTTTGGAGGAGGAAAACAAGAAAAAAAATATTCTGAACCTCAGAAGCCAGAACAGCAAAAGGGATCGCTGTGCAGTGAAAGCAGCAATCCCTCTTGCTGTTCTGGCTTCTGGGATAGCTGCGCAGCCTGCATTCGCCCCATAAGATGCACACACACATTTCCCCTTACTTTTTAGGAGGGAAAAAGTGAGTCTTATAGAGCAAAAAATACGGTACTTCGGTCCAAGATTTGTATGACACGCTTCAAACAAATGTTTAAACAATTACTTCAAAACAGCCCAGACACTCTCTAACCTCCAAAGGATTTTCTTCAGCCAGAATAACAGGGTTGTTGCCAACTAAGTCCTACTCAGAGTAGACCCACTGAAATTCATGGGTGTGACCGACATAGGTGCATTAATTTTAGTGGATCTTCTTAGAACTTAGCTGGATACATGCCAATACCTTTTCTCTACCCGTTCAAAGCATGCTTAGGCTGAAGTTTGGACTTTAGACCTTAAGTGAACAGAATGCTATATCAATACTAAAGAAATATTTATTACTACAGATAGCCCTTACCTCCAGGATCAGATGAAGAACTTAACGGTCTTGCTGGGAAATGCTTTTTCGGAGTTGTTTCTCCCTAAAGTGAATATTACAGTCTTTAGCACAAAAGCAAGCAAGCAACCTGCTCTGTCTCTCTATCCAATCCATGCAGTAGTCAAAAGATCAAAACTTGTATTAAACTTCCTGGAACTAAGCTCACATTTGAATTCTTTACCTTGGCTCCTAAACTTACAAGTATCAATAAAAGATATAAAAAGTTCTTCCAGTGGAGGTGCGAAAACCTTTGTTTTCTTCAAGTAATTTACCAAAGCTGAAACTCATCTTTAAAATTGTGACATATTTCATCTTCGGGGGGCGGGGCGGAAATCCAAATAAAATATGGGGGGGGGGGGGAGTGGAGAGAAAGGGAACTACCTTATTTGTTTATTGGATATTATATTTCACCAAGTCAATAAAAACTGCCTTGAAGGAAAGACGTAGCCTAACTTTATCCATATGTTGCTGAACTTTTGTTTTACAAGGGGCTGATTCCCATGGCCATCATCTTGCACTTATACACACTAGAATTCATGCTTGATCAATAGGTTCTGGGCTTCCCAAACAACATGTACTCGACAAGGATGATTTTTAACATTTGCTAAGTGCCTCCTGGCAGAGGGAATATAAACCACACTGGATTCGTGCACAAGATGTACTGATCTCACCATGAGGGAACTACAGAAATTACTGCAGGGAGAAATAGTACCATGAGTCACCATTTGCAGGAATTATTATAGAAACAGGTACAAAATCTAAAGCTTAAAAAAAGAAAGAAAATGAAGTACCTTTATACCCTAGGAGGTCTAACCTTGCCTACCTCTCTCTGTAGCCCAAAATGATTTCTTGTTGAGTTCTATTGTTCCTTCCTTGGGTATAAAAGTCACCAAAACAATAATATTCTTGATGACCTTTCGGAAGATTATCTGTTAATGCTACAGGGGAGAAATGATCTTCAGAATGATATAGGATTGCCTTTTTAAGAAAAGGAGAATAAGGACTTACAAAACTAATGGGACAAATAGCCTTTAGGAAAATCTGACTGACTGGTGAAGAATTCAGTTCTAAAGCTAGTCTAACTTGTAACAGGATGTTATAATACTGAAAAGAAAAAGTGTCTATTTACTCTTGCACATTTCCCACAATTTTTAAACATGCATACATTGTTCAGGCAAGTAGCTTCATATTAACATTATTATCATTCAGCATCTAAGCCTATGAAATAGCTAACCTCTTTGGTTATCAGAGCTGAAACGGATGGTTTTCCTGGAGGTTTCGGAGGCAGCTTATCTCCTTCAGCCGAGCCCAATGGCCCCCATGCACATTTTTTAATATCCAACAGATCACTACTTCCCAAGCCTTGCAGTTTTGGAAAATCTGAGAGGGTAATTTCAAATGCAGGTTCCGGAAGACACTCAGCAGCTGGAATTTGCTTGAACTTCCCATTTGCTGCTTTAATGGGTCTGTCTAATAAAAAAAAGAGAGAGTGTTTATATGCAAAGTAACATATTTCTCCACGATATGTAAATAGTTTATTGCTTTTAGTAATCATTACACATTACACAATGCTTTTTAGCAAAAAAAAAAAAAGTTTATTTACTCTCTCATTCATACTTGGATCCTGCTTCACATCCCAATGAGAGCACAAAACAGCTAACAATATCGCACAAGCATAAAATAATGAAGTTAACAACATCTTAACCACTTATAATCAGTAAGTGCTGATCAATAAAAACAAACTGGGTAAAAATGATACACCCAGCGGGGGGGGGGGGGGGGTGCTACAAAACTAGCAAAAGTCTTGCACTTTAATCCAGTACAAGTTTCAGAAATATGCCACTTTTGGTCGAAATTTGGCCTCCCGAGAGAGGTTTCTCTTGCCCACTCTCCTATGAAGTCCTTTTACATAAGGCCTTTGCCTTGAAACATTCAACAAGTATTTCAATGAACTTTTTCCTGTTGCATAGCTCAAGGACCTTCCCAACTCTCTCCTCTTCTTGCACGGCCCCTAAACCTGTTCTGGGTGTCCCCCCCCCAAAAAAAAACCATTCTGGAGCAGATGGGGGGGCTGAGCAGTGAGAGGATAGTGGGGAGAATGCAAATGGAAATCATTGCGCTAATGGAACGAGTGTACTGGGTGCCAATGAAAATTACTCCCAGGCATACATCCACACTGTATGTAATTGAGTTTCATTGCTTGTATTATTGAGGCTGCTAGCTACCTTCAAGAAAGGTAACTTTTTTTTTAAAAAAAAAAAGGGTTGCGAGACACCAAAGCAAATCCTTTTAATTGCTAAAGGGTATGCAATATTTTGGGACGTGGGTGGTGCTGTGGGTTAAACCACAGAGCCTAGGACCTGCCGATCGGAAGGTCGGCGGTTCGAATCCCCGCGACGGGGTGAGCTCCCGTTGCTCGGTCCCTGCTCCTGCCAACCTAGCAGTTCGAAAGCATGTCAATGTACAAGTAGATAAATAGGTACCGCTCTGGCGGGAAGGTAAATGGCGTTTCCGTGCGCTGCTCTGGTTCGCCAGAGGCGGCTTAGTCATGCTGGCCACATGACCCAGAAACTTCTACTCACACCAATGTGCAAAATACTGGAATTGTTACGGTAGTACCTGATTTAATAGGATTTCTTCCATGCAGAGCTGTGTAAGGTGAACTCTCTGTGGATCCATCAGATCTCTTACTCTCCCATTTGGATTCATGGTCTTTTGAGCGCCTCTGTACAAAATAATAACACCACCTTTCAATCTTTTTTAAAAAGGTCTTAATCTCTATATCTATATCATCTCTATATTTATATTCCAAACAAAATAAAAAAAATCCTTCCAGTTAACACCTTAGAGACCAAATAAGTTTATTATTGGTATGAGCTTTTGTGTGCATGCACAAAGCTCATACCAATAACAAACTTAGTTGGTCTCTAAGGTGCTACTGGAAGGATTTTTTTAAAAAAAAATTAAATGGCATACCAACACGGCTACCTACTTGTAACTAGATCTATATTCCAAATTATATCAGAGCATAATTTCAGTACACAAACACTAAAAAGTAACACATAATGGTATCTGTTGCTCAAGAGCAAATGCAAAAGGAATATTTTTTTATCTGTACAATTTGTTTTTTGCACTTTTCAAGATACAAATAATGTTAAAGTTGTCACTAGAGATGCATTAAACATCCATGGAAGCATTGCTAGGAGCTTCTCTTAGCTATTATCCAATATTGAATTTCCTGATAAATTCAGGGTTTCAGCTAACTTTGTCTAGTTCCTCTAGGCATGTGGTCCTAGCTTACGTATATCTTTCAGTAACCCCTAAAAAAGCCACTCCCAATCCATCTGTTGGTCCACTTTTCATTTCCAGTGCAGTTTTCTCCAAAACGCACACTAGGAACGTTGGCTGATTACGACAGCCAATTCTTGCTTCAGCTGTAGAGCATTTTACAAAGCTCATGTTTCTCACAAACTGTTGAGTAGCAGAGGGAAAACTCAGGCCTGGTACTTCAACAGGGCTATGTTTCTGCGGCAGTGTATTTGCTAGACTAATGAAAGGTAGTCAGGCTGCTCCCTACCTTGGATAAGGTTTCATTTGTGCCCAAGCAGACTGTTCCACTAAAATCTGCAGAGCAAACCTGGGCTATGAATATTTCACTGAATTTTAACAGCTAACAATTTGTTTCAGCTTTATAATATTAGCCAGTATATCTATCCTGTAGAGACCGCGGCCACTGTTTGGTAGAGTCAACCCACCCACTCCCCATACAAAGAGAATCAGAAGCTAGTTATGATCAGTGCACAATCACTGAATATCCCGCACAGATCCCTAGTAACCATAGGCACCGGCAGGGACCAATGAAAGCTGAAAGACCCAATGTGGGGGGGTGGGGAAATGCTGGGGGCGGGGCGGAGTACTCCAACTCTTTGAAAATGGAGCGCTAAACAAGCCTGCTATTACTGCAGTCCAGTTACTGATGCAAGCTGTAGCAAGACAGAAAGGCGTTATCTACTAGGCTGTCTTCACTTACCTGACAAAAAGCTGCAGCATCTTTTCGGATATGAGGAGTCTGTTTGGCAGAGTCTCTGTCCTGTTTCGAAGAGCTGTAAAGCTTAGGGCTGTTGTTCGGACACTGAAAGTTGGTAACTGCATATACGTTTGGTGCAGCATTAACTGAATAAGGAGAACTGGTATAATCCCCAAGCGAACTACATCCCATAAGGCTCTGAGATCGATATTGAGAATGAGAGGTGGCAGTATCCCAGGGCGCATCTTGAGCATGTGTCTGTTGTCTAAATTAAATAAACATATTGTAATTTTTTTAGTGGGACACATGACAAACATGACAAGGTTTGCAAGGAAAAATAGAATGAAAACGAATGCTTGGGCTGTAACAGAATTTATCATATGATTACAAAACAATTTCTATTTAAGCCATAAGCATAATAACCAATTTATTTTACTAACACAGGAACCCCAAATCTGCCTTGGAGGGGGTGAAAATCTGTCTCTGCGCAGCTCTGACAGCTTCCCCACCACCCCTGGAGGTGGGGGAATGAAGTCCTGCCATCAAGGAACTTCATGCAGTCACCTGAAAGCTGGGCAGAAGCTGGCGGCGATCAGCAGAAACCCACAAAATAGGGGTGGGGAGGGTGAGGAGAGTGGTCCCGGGGTAGGTGTGCTCCAGGTTTCTTCACTGTGCCAGCCTGGGAGCTGGTACAGGGAAGGGGCAATATTTTCTTTCCCACTTTCTGTGCTGACTGGTGCTACTCCAGTCACAGCCAACCAGGCGTTTGGATTGTAGTCCAAGCGTCCTTTGAAAAACAGTAAGCATAAAATGGTAGTGTTCAAAATATGTGGTGTAAGGCTGATCTGTTAATCTCAAAGGGGCATGCATCAAATTTGGAGTATGGAACTTCTTCCCTAAGCTGCAAGCAATAATATAATGAAAAGGTGTACATTATATTCAAAAGGTGATATCCTATTGCTGATCTTAGTGATGTTGTGCCAGTAAAAAGGTAAAGGGACCCCTGACCGTTAGTTCCAGTTGTGGACGACTCTGGGGTTGTGGTGCTCATCTTGCTTTATTGGCCGAGGGAGCCGGTGTACAGCTTCCGGGTCATGTGGCCAGCATGACTAAGCCGCTTCTGGCGAACCAGAGCAGCGCACGGAAACGCCGTTTACCTTCCTGCCGGAGCGGTACCTATTTATCTACTTGCACGGCGTGCTTTCGAACTGCTAGGTTGGCAGGAGCCAACTAATTACGGAAGAGCTAGAAAGAATTTTTTTTGCAGATTCTCCTTCTCCCAAGTAGTCTCCAGTGCCCTTCAAAAATATGTCCTGGGGTGGGTCGGGGAACTGTTCCCCTTTCACAATAATTAACTTTTAAAAGAGCATGATTTTGCCTATGGTGATTAAATAGTAGACTATTTTTTTTAATGGAAAAAAATTTAGAAATCCCCAAGAAGCTCCATTGCTTCCAATGAAAGTCAATTAGCTCCCCACCATCCCAGGTACTTGAAGCTATATCTTAATCACACACAATTTAGAGCACCATGTTGCAAAAGAGCACACTGCATTCTGAGCATTTAGAGCTTGCTTTAGGTAAATGTCATAGAAAAGCATGGTAGCCATATGACTACTGTAGAACTTATGATACACCTCCCAGGTATGCAAGCCTTAGGGGCTGGGACTTCTATCACACAGACAAATAACCCCATTTATAAGGTAACATGATTCTACACCCCACCAAAGAGCATGGTATTATTACTACCCAATACACTGTGTTTTGGGGTCTGTTCTTGGGGAAAGTACTGCAATTGATTTAATTTGTTCAAATAAGTCAACCCCCTACACATCCTTAGTAGCCATTAGACCAGGCTTCCTCAACCTTGGCCCTCCAGATGTTTTTGGCCTACAACTCCCATGATCCCTAGCTAGCAGGATCAGTGGTCAGGGATGATGGGAATTGTAGTCTCAAAACATCTGGAGGGCTGAGGTTGAGGAAGCCTGCATTAGACATAAAATTATTCTTTCTTACAGGAGAAAAAAAAACTGAGCAATTGCTGCTCAGTTGTAGTTATTTAAATATATGATTGCTAATATGCGGATTTTAGATTACTGAAAAAAGTTGCCAGAACAAACCCCCAATATGTATACCCAAAACAATAAGGACAGTTTAAAACTGTGCAGGTACCACCTTCTCACAAAGCAGCAAAGTGAGATGGCTTTGAGAGCAAAATCCCAGTTACAGTAATTCCACATGTAATAAAACAAATGTTTGGGGATCAAAAGCCCAAAGTCACCATCGTCTTTGAAATGTGTCCCGTGAGAGGTGGGTTCAATGTTGTGGCCTAAAACATTGAATGAGCTTACCCAATTAATGACCAAAATGCACTTAACTTGCCAAACAGCTAAGGCATCTAAATTAAAGACTTAGGTACGTTAACAGTCCCCCAAGAAATGAGACGTAGAAGGGTACATACTTATCCACTGGTGGCTCTTGAACATATGGGTAGCATGTACCATAGTATGTAGGAAAGACACATGCTTCTGAGGGTTCTGACCATGCCACTGTTACTGCCGCATATTTGGGGACAAACGGTTTGACCTCTGCTGATAACTTGATGCCCTGAGAAACAAAATGGGTTTTGGCTACATGCACTTGGAGATTAACCAAAATAAGTGAAAAGCCCCATCTATGTGAACCAAACTGTCACACAAGAAGGAGAAGCTGGTGCCTTGTTCTTCTGCTCAACCAAAACGAGTAGGAAAAAATTAAATCTGTAACAGAACACTGAAAAATGCACCAAGAATTTTAGTGCTTAAGCAAACTGCTGCTTCAGAACAGAAGTTTCATTTTACTTTTTAATGTAAAAACTCTGAGAGTATCTGGCTGCAGCACATGCAACATCTCAACTTTGCATTTATAAGGGGGGTGGAAACTAATCTCTGCAGCTGCAGAAAATACACTATAGGCAGGCAATACAGACGCAATGCTGGTTTAGCTATTAAGAATGATTAGGAGACTAGAAGCAGGCTTCAGGCGCATGCGCACCCTCCTGGCCCCAACTTCTCCCCTCTCATGCAAGAATTTCTCTCTTAGACACACACATGCCTTTACCCAGGTTCAGCTTCTTGGTGTGACATAATGCTAAAGTTGGGGAAAGGGAAGTACAGAGAAGTATGAAAAACAAGAAGAAGAGCCTGCTTCCCACTCCCAATACCATCACCCTACTTAATGACCAACTAGCATTACATCTGCACTGGCCCTACAAGAATCTAAGAGAAAACAAAGCATTCAGCTGACAGTCAAAAGTCTGTTCACTGAACACCCTCTGGTGGTTGTACTTGCATTTGAAACAGAGGGACAACTGGACACCAAGGGTAGTATTAAATGCTAGACCTACTCAAGAGTGGGCCCATTGAAGCCAATGGCCATTACTAACTTGGGCTCTTGAATTTCAACGGGTCTACTTTGAGTAGGACTTAGTTGAAAACAAGCCTAGAGGTTTAGTCCATAATATGAATAGTTGTGTTCTGCAGCTCATTAAAAAGATGGTTGACCAGAATTTTGTCAAACGTACCCTAATATATTAGAAGAGAAATAGAAACCGTGTACATATAGTTGCACAAATGCCGAGTTTGCTGGATACCTTATTATATTTGCCTGACCTATTTGTATTATTACATCAGGAACGAGTGTTCAGATTCTACGGCAAAAAATACGTTAGAATCACAGATTTAAAAAACTTTGTAAAGCAGCACCTGCTCACCACACCCAATATAAATACCACCCATATGTAGGGTGAACTTGTGGCTTCCCAATGTTGCTAGACTCCAGCTGGCATCATCCCCAAACAATGGGCATGGTGGTTGGGACTGCTGGATCCTAAAGTCCAACAACCTCTGGCAGCCACAGGTTTCCCACTATTACCATTAGGGAAATGCTATGGTTTTAATTATACAGAATTTAGGTTTATATAATGGCTAAAATATGGAAAGCTACTTCATACAGAGTCAAGATTATTGGTCCATCCAGCTCAATATTGTCTACACACTGCCAGGAAGCAGCTGTTTCAGGCAAAAATAGTTCCGAGCCTTACCTGGAAATAACAGCTATTGAATCAGGGATTTTCTGCACGCAATATAAGTGTTCTACTACTCGCCTTCCTTACTATGGACAGAGATATGGAAAGGCCCCAATCCAGCTGTTCCCCAGCAAAGTGAATCTAAATTAGTCAAGATTAAGCTTTCACACTTGATTTCAAAGCAAAACTGCAAATTGTTCAGTTGTTTGTTTCTATCGTATCATTTAAATAGGTAAAAACAGGACACTTCTACTCCAGGCTGAGTGAAAAACTTTGATTAACTGCATTCAGAAAAGGAAAATATTTGAAGCTATTCTGCAAAGCACACATGGTCAAGAGTTATGCTGGAGTGTATGCACAACCTATCAAATTCCATGTGAAGAACAAGATTTTACTACTTCTCCCCATGGGAACATTCATCTCTAGCAAAGCAAAAATAATGTGTAATCCTTGAAGCTACTAGGCATAATCTGACACGAAATTCGTAACAAAATCCTAGTTATCAAAATGGGTAATTGCTTCTAAAAACTTAGGCCATGCTGCAATAAAGCAGTAAGCATTTGGACAAAATGACACATTACATGCAAACAAATAATAGTAACCAACTATTTTTGCTTAGCTTGCAAAGCCTAGGGTAGTGTAGAGGAGTGAAAAGAGCAACTGTGGGAGGTGTTTCTTTTGCTACCATTTTTCTGCTCCACAGCATTTATCCTCTTTCGGTGTTTGTAAACTATATCTGCACTGAAAGGAAAGCACTAGCACCCAAAACTGTCATACCTCTGGAATTTTATTCCTGGGAAAGAGGCAATTCCTGGGAAAGAGGCAATTCTGAAGGAAGCAAAAGCTGCTTCCCAAACCAGAGCCTTATGACTGACGAAGTCTTGACCAAGTTGGTTTAGTTCAAATCTATTTGGCCAAACAGTAATGTTGGGTTTCTGCTACCATATCAAGAAAGGTGATCTGTTTTTGTATACGTATTTTATGTGCACAAAGTGCTACAATAGTTTATACTGTGTTCTTCAGAAGAAGGGTGGTATAAAAATTAAATATAAAACAAATAAAATAAAATAATAATAAGTTGATGACTAGGACACACGACGCAGCCAGTATTCTTAAAACAAGCTGCTGCCATTCCTCTCCCCTGTCAGAGGTCTTGCCTGCGAAGACAACAGTTCAGGAGGTGAAACTTGTATTTTGCACGTTTGGTAAAAAAAATTCAACATGTGCTCCTTTCCCTATCGCACAGCCACTAAAAGCAAAGCAGTGGTGTCCTGAAAAGAGATTGGTGGTGGCAAGCAGAAGACATTGAAGGGGGGGGGGGCAGAGAGGCAAGGCTTAAAACCCGGGGGGGGGGGGGGGAGAAGCAGTCCTTTAAAAAAATTCTGGCTAATATACTCAATATTGCACTTCTTCCACGACAAAAAAAGAGAGGAAAAGGTTTGCAGTGCCTTCTCCCGATGACAACACAAAAAGACATGCTATATCAAACTTATTATTATTATTTTCTGAGCACCACTTGAGAGGGGAGGCTTGTTTTTTGCTCTCTGGTGTTGCTGTCCCTCATTTTCCTTTCTGCAGAGAGAAACAGACTTTCTTCGGGGTGATTGGGAATTTTTTTTTTTAAAAAGGGCATCCCTTCGCCCCCCCCCTTTTTGTTTGTTTGTTTGTTCAGGCCTCCTGCCAGGACCTGAGCCATAGACACACACGTTAAGCGAGAGCAGGTTCAGCGGAGCCACTAGAACGGAGAGCGCCTTTGCCTTTCCCCTTCCAGGACCTCTCCGGCCGCCGTTTACATAACAACCAGCCGCGGCGCGCGGGGTGGCTGGAGGGAGCCGCTCTTTCGCCTTCCGTTCTCCACAGACCCGGCCTCGCCGCCGCCGCTTCCCCGCCTTACCTCGCTGCCCGCTTCCCTCTCTGAAGACATGGCGCGGGTGGGGGGGCGACAAAAGGTCAACGCCCCACCAACGGCGGCTTCCACCCTGCCCTTCTACCACCGGCCCGGCGGCGCGCACTAAAGACGCGGCGGGCGCGCGACTCGAGGGTTAAACCCCAGAGGCCGCGGCCAATCAGCAGCCGCGCCCCGGCTCGCGTGACCGCCGCCATGACACCAGGGGCAACAGGGAAAGGCCGGCTTAGCTCTACCGAAACCGTCGCGCCTGTTTAGCGTCTCCTAATGCGGATGATGGGCAGCCAGTTTTTCCACGCTGCTTAGCATGATTGTTTATATACGAATAACGGAGAGCAAGGAAGGGAAGTGGTTTTAGCATATGGCATGATCTGGGTTGTATCAATATACCTTATCAACATTATTGACCCATTACCTTCTGATTCCTCCAACGAAGAAAATAGTTGGAACAATAGCAAAACAGCTGCAGTAATAGGAAATCCGTGCATTATAATTTACCAGATTCAACTACGAAGTGAGTTTCGTGTATATGCAGAGCTTTCTTTATGATGTCTCATTATGTAGTATTTCGAATGTTTTTAGTCATAGTTTGTGCAGTTGAGGTTGCGTCTGTGTTTACAATTGCACCAAAAAAATCAATAAAACTAAACTTCCAAACTTTTTTTTGTGCCGAATATATTTGTCTCATAATTTAATCAGTTGTCTAAAGGACAGTCATGACTTACTGCTATGAATGCACAGACACCACTTTCCTTTTTCTTATCTAACATTATATACTATAAAAAATGTGTTATATCAATTTTAGCTTCACCGCATAGGCAGTGTGTACAACAGAAATTTTGCAGCTTCAATCTCTTGCGAGCTACAAAAATGAGCAATCTTTATAGATACAGCATTACTAATGGCAAACATTTATGCAAGTTTTAACAGAAATTGTTTTACTTTTAAGAATTGTTTTTACCCATAGAAATTATATATAAATAATTTTTATGGGTAAAAACACACATACATCCATATTTTTTATAAAATCATTTATACTCTGCATTTTTGGATGTAGCCCACCCAAAATGTCTTACAACAAAATACACTGAATGATAGCAACTGTATTAATAATACTCTATTATTAGGGCAGTTTTAAACAAAACACAGAGCTAACCTTTCAAAATTGGTCACCAAGATAAAGTATGAAACAGCCTAAAAATAATTTGCCAAACAACAGTTTCTGTATTTTGCAGTGCAGCCTTTTATTGCTCTGGGCATTATTGATTTCCATTTGTGCCAATATCTGGGGAAGTGAGCTCCCAGACTCAATTCAAGGTGTTAATACTGGCATATAAAGTTCAAAATGGCTTTGGACTTCCTAACTACAGAGCACCTATCCAATGTCAACCACCTTGGACCCTACATTCAGTATGCGAGTTTGGTGGTGCCACCACTAGGGGCTGGAGTTGACCCAACTGCCTTTTCACTGGTTGGATGTCTATATTTATGTTTTTTTAAAAAATTGATTTGTTCACTGCCCTGGACTCATTTGGAAGGGTGCAATATAAATAACAGTAAACTGTACAGCTGCCTGCTTTATTTCTGTCATGCCACACCAGAGATGTCTAAGGCTGTAATACTAAACATACTTACCTAGGAGTAAGTCCCATTGAATTGAATAAGGCTTGCTTCTGAATAGACCTGGCTACAACTATAGCCTAAATCAGCAGTTGAATTCTCACTGCATCTGTATGGGGCAGGGCGTGAAGGTTGCAACACAACAGTGACATAGGCAACAATGAAGTTGGATTTTATAGCACTGCCATTTTGAAAATTACATTAGGAAAGGTATGTGATCTAGCATTTAATTAAAAATATATCCTTGCACAACTAAAAATACAATTCAATTGTCTCCAGAATATCTATTAATTTTGGTGATTACTGAATGATTTGAGAAGCAATGTGGATGTGGTCATTCTGAGAGCAAGCACGGTACCTTGCAGAGTGTGACATTGGTACAGAATTAAGCTTCCTAAGAATCTCTTTAATTTGTGGTAGCTCTTGTGGTTGAAGATATGCATTTGTGTCTGTGCAAAACACGCTCAGCTCATTGAAGTCAAAGTGATTCAACAAGATTTCCACCTTCCAACAACTACCAAATCTGCTATATTGTATTGCCATAATTTATAGGGAAAAAATGGAATCGGAAGTTTTCATATACAGAATATATTGATCTACATTTAAAAATAAAATAAAATGCTGTACATGAGCAACAAGTAATCAAAGGGGAACATGCTCCAGGTAACTGCCATGTTTTAGCATCACATTAAATATTCCCTTTGCTGGGACCTATGAAAATAGACTCCAGGTTACAAGAGGCAATAAAACTCAGTCTATGAAGAGCTAACACTTTCAAAGGCTATGAAGGCTAACACTTTCAAAGAACTTTAATATTTCATTGAGACTGAACAGAAACTTCATGGAGAGCTGATAATGCAAATCAATACTGTCAAATTAAGCCACATTTATCTTTACCTACCGACTACGGCCATATTCAGGAGTGAATGACTTCTGACCACCCCAAGTAGGTAGCCACAATCTGTTTGCTGTGACCCTGCAGTAGTAAACATGCTAGGCAAATGCCTTTAGACAAGTCAGCAACCATCCCCTGAACTTCAATCTCTGGGGCAGGAAACTGGGGGTGTATTCTGCTATTCAGTGCAGTTTCACATGGGTAAAAGCATCTACCAAATAATGAACTTGGACCTATTGCTATCCCCCCTCCTTTACAATTGCTTCCTATTTCCTATTATCCCAACCTGGCTCTGAATAAAAAGACACACTAGTGAAGAGAAGCCATGACCAGCTGCTACTGGAGAGAGGTGGGAACCAGGCAGCTCATCACAGGATCTTTCTCTTGAGCAGACCTGTACAGAGCTGGATGAGGGCAGTAGATCATTCTTATTCGTACTCACCTGAGCCATTAAGCCTGTTTTTTCCTTCTCTTGTAAAATGATTATAGCAAACAAATTCTAGGTAAGTGATATAAATACTACAAACAAACCTCTATATTATTGTCATCAATTGTATTGCATTTTATAGAGTACCAATATATGGCTTTTATAATGTGGACAGTAGTAAACTAAAATCATGAAATGCATAGATTTAGCATTAAAAATATGTTTATTTCAGCAGCTGAAAAGCCACAGGATGAATTGCTTCAACAGTTGGAAGAAGCTTCATTACTAAGAATAAAAAGGCACAGATCTTTGAAGATTATTATAATCAACACATTACATGAAAGTTGTGAACTTTATTGAACAAAACTGAAAAAAAATCAAATAGGCACTTGTTAACTTGTTAAGTGAGAATTCAAGACCATAGCAGCCTACTTTGCATTTTACTGAGCTCTGTTGCTGTGAATAATACAGCTCATGCACAGGTAATGACTTGTTTGTATATTTTTCTTAAGTATTCACTGAATACTACCAACATATATACATTTATACATAAAGTTCCAGAAGCTTAGAGAGGCTGTTCATTTCTGCTGGCCTTTTGGAAGTGGTCTTCTAAATAGAAGGATGTGTGGTTCTGTAAAGAGAAAAAAAGGAAGTTTGTTTATAAGTCTGTGGCCAGACATCCCACTTAATGGCCGATAATATAGGGTTTTCAGTAAACACTTTCTGTCTAGCCCTTGCTACTTAATGTATGAAGTGACTTTGTCCCTCTCCCACGTCAAGACATCCTAAAAGCTTTACAAAAAGTATTTCTGGAATAGCTTGTTAGGTAGAAATGTCCTTTTTTACCTGGTTCATGAATCATGTAGTGGACCCAGCCAAGGCTTTGCTGAACACCAAGTCTTCTCCATTCTTCTTCAGTCATTAGATGAGTTTTTGGTACTTGCTTTGACAGCTCTCTTGGCAACATCACATGCCTGCCAGGGACAGAAAACACACCAAGTCACATTTATACAGCCACAATTAGTTCTGTACAACTTATAAAGAAGCTTTATGTCAGACTCCATAGCATTTGTGAACTGCTTGAACATTTAAGTTTCAGGCTGGACCTCTGCCTGTGATTTTTGATTACTTGTACATAATAGCCTAAGTTGAAGGAACGGCGCTGTAGGTGTTCTTTCATATCTACTTTAGATTTTTAATTCCTTTTAGAGAAACCCGACAGCTTGCTATGCAACAAGAAAACTCAGGATCAGGCGGCTTGTAAACTTCCATTTGCTTCTTGCAAGCTGCAAGAAACAAAAGTCTGGCTCTCCCACTACTGGGCAATAAATATCTTTTATGTGACTTTTATGGTGTTATCTGCAGGCACTTGCAAGTGCCCCTATTTTCCAGGGACATTCCCAGATTTTAAGAAGCTGTCCCAGAATGCCCTGCTTTTCCTTAGGATGTCCCTATTTTCATCGCAGAAATGTTGGCAGGTATGGAGTGAAGCAACCCCAGAGCCAAGGAACTGGACAATCTTTAGAAGATATCAGAAGGCAGCCCTGTACAGGTTAAGTTTTTTTTAAAAAAAATGCTTAATATTCTCTTTTGTTATATAGTCTGTTGAAAACCGCCAAGAGTGGTGGGCAACCGGGTCGGATGGGCAGGGTATAAATAATAAAATTATTATTATTATGGAATGGAACGTCCCTATTTTCGTCAGAGAAATGCTGGGAGGCTATGCCACTAGCAAGACTGCCCGTTAGCCAAACGCAAAGTCAACGTTGCAAAGGCCCAAAGCTAACATACGGAAACGAGCCTGTTGAAATGGCCATGTCGGCCCGAGAGACCGTGACCCAAACCCCCTCCCCCTAAGCTCATCGGCGGCGGATTTTGGCCCAGCAAGTTACCACGGGGCTAAAATGGAGGGAGCTGGGTTCGAATCACGCGCACGCCGCAACAGGCGCTTCCCTCCGCGGCGCCAGCCCTTCCCCAAAGGGCCTGTGTGAAGAGCGGGCAGGCGCAACGGCCTCCTCCGGCCTCGCCCCGCGCCGTCCTTTGTCCCGAGGCCGTTTCCACACACACCCCCCCTCCGGCGGGAAAGGAGGAGGGAGAAAAAGAGGCCCGCCGTTTTCTGTTTCCTCCCCCTCTCCTGAGGTACTGGGAAGGGAGCCTGGGCGGGAAGAAAGGAGGGAAAGCGGAGGGCGGCGAGGGACGCCATGAAAGAGCGGCGGGCCCAGCGGCAGCCTCGTCAGGCGAAGGGGCAGGAAGAGGCCCGCCGCCCCGGGACACCCCCCCCCCCGGCCTCCCTCACCGGTACTCGTAGTTCTCGTCGAAGTACTTGTCCGAATAGTAGATCTGTTTGTGGGCCATGACGAAGACGGCGATGATGGCGGCGACCACGGGCGCCTCACGGAAACCGCCCCCTTCTTCTCTCCCTCTCTCCTCCTTCTCCCACCTCAAGCAGCGGCGACGGCGGCAGCGCTAAACTAACTCGCCCCTTAAAGCCAGCCCACCCGCCCGCCCGGACTCGATTTGAATCCCTCAGCTCGACGCTGATTGGGCGGCGGAGGGCTAATCGGGGCGCGCGCTGCCCGCGTGACTGTCGCGGGCCTGTGGGGATTCGGGTTCCACGCCCCGCCCCGCCCCTCTCTCTCTCTCTCTGTCTCCTCCCCGGAAGGCCGCCGCGAACTGCGCGTGCGCGCCCCACACTCTCCTCGTCTGGGCGAGTTCCGTGTTTAACTTGAGTGGGAGTTTGAGTTTCTTCCCCTCGAGCAGCCCCCCCCCCCCATTGCGCGCCGCCGCGGGAGCGCGCTTGGGTAGTTTCCCCTGTCTGTCCTCCGCCTGGAAGGGGTTGTATTCCTGGCTACCTCCTTGCAGAGCGAGCGAGGTGCTGCTGGAAGGAATTTATTTTATTTTATTTTAATTTAATTTTATTTTGTTTCGACTACGGCAGACCAACACAGCTACCTACCTATACAGTAATGCGTTCATGAAATTTGGGTGGGTTTTTCGGCATCCTTTTCCGTTGGAATTGCAAACAGCGCAGAGCTCTCTGCTTACTCTGGAGTAAGCCCGCTTTGAATTCACGGAAGCAAACTCCCACCGGGTATTATGGCAACCTATATCTCTCCTGGCCGTGTGCAAAGTTTGCTAAACCACTGCTTTAATTTTCTGTGCAGTTTTGCATATATGGTCTCTCCCCACTCCAAACTATTTCTAAACTGGAGGCAGCGGCTCTTGCACAACTAGGATGGAAGTAATTTGCATTTGGTGTGTCATGGATTTAAAGCATTCCTCCCACCCCGTCCCGCTTTGCTGTAAATATTCCCATATAAAGAAAGTCCCTCCTTGCTGGTATGCAATCTGAAATACAGTGGTGCCCCGCAAGACGAATGCCTCGCAAGACGGAAAAACCGCTAGACGAAAGGGTTTTCCGTTTTGAAGTTGCTTCGCAGGACGAATTCCCCTATGGGCTTGCTTCGCAAGACGAAAATACCTTGCGAGTCTTGAGATTTTTTTCGCTTTTCCCCCTTTATCTAATCTGCTAAGCCTTTAATAGCCTTTAATAGCCTTTTAGCAGCTAATCCCCTAAGCCTTTAAGCCTTTAATAGCCGCTAAACAGCTGATAGCGCTAATAGCGCTAATCCGTCAATGGGCTTGCTTCGCAAGACGAAAAAACCGCTAGACGAAGACTCTTGCGGAACGGATTAATTTCGTCTTGCGAGGCACCACTGTATATGGCACAAAGGGGAAAGAGAGTAAGAAAGGGAGAAGGGGGAAACTTGTCCCTTGCTGAAAAGACAAGGAGAGCAGACAGCAATTGCACACAAATCACTGGGAGTTGCTTTATGTATAGACTGAAGTTTGTTCCCAAATCCCACTTTCTTATTTGCAGTTTCTAGTTCTCAGTAAAACATTTTTAAAAATTCTTCCAGGCCTTTGAATTTCCGAGCTTCAATGTATTACTGTTATTTTTTAAACAGACTTCTGGATCTTCTGCTTGTTTTGTTTTTTAAAGGGTGCTTGATTGATCTTGAATTACTCTACAAGCCCCAGTGTGTTCACGACTGGTCCACGGGCCCCATTTGTCTGTGACATGACCTCAAGCAAAGTGCCTCCTTCACTCACACTAGAAACAATATAAATAGGGATTTAAATTGTCCATAAAAGCCTTTGAAGCATCCTAAATACTATATCTACCAGACCACCTGATAGTCGCTTATAGATGCTGATGTCTCATTCAAAGATTCACCTGGGTGCAGAAATGCATTCACCTCATTATGCACATTGGAGAAACAAAAAGAAACAGGTCAGTTAGACATACTCCAAACTAAGGGAGCAGCAAGAAAAACGTCTGTGAGTGTAAAGTAAGTCCCTCCCCACACAATGTTAGGAAATAACTGGAGAATACCAGTTAATCCTGAAGTTCCACATGTGTGTGGAAAGTGCAAAACAAAAACGGTTGACTGCCTGAATTCAAAAAGTATGCAGGACTTGACTCACTCTCTAGCCAAAAAAGAAATAGGCACAATGTTTGCAAAGTGGCAAATATAGGCTGTTAGACCAGGCAGAGGGCCTTCTCGGTAGTGGCACCCGCCCTGTGGAACGCCCTCCCACCAGATGTCAAAGAGAACAGCAACTACCAGACTTTTAGAAGACATCTGAAGGATGTTAAGGGAAACTTTTAATGTTTAATAGATTATTGTATTTTTAATATTCTGTTGGAAACCGCCCAGAGTGGCTGGGGAAACCCAGCCAGATTGGCGGGGTATAAATAATAAAGTATTATTATTATTATTATTATTATTAACAATAAAGTATTATTATTATTATTATCATCATCATCATCTCAGTATTAAGTGCTGTCAGTGTGGTCCCCTTGCCTCTAACCATCCCGGAGTGAATGGACTACAATGTCAAGTAAGTTTAAAAGCTTTACTTACAGTAATCAGAGGTCTCAGTTGCGTATCGTTCAATGCCACATCAGAAACTACACAGCTTAGGTATTCTTGGTTACAAAATACAGAAGCTGGAATCAAAGACATGATCTAAGTCTGGAGCCCCAGCCTCAGCTTCAGTTACATAGTTCAAGAGACAGCGGGGTGGGCGAGGAGGGACAGGAAGCAAACCTTACTTCCTCTCTCCTTGGAGAAGAGGGGATGTGACATCACAGAGTCTACTCTAGAAATTTAGAACTCTGTGGTCCTTAACCTCTTCACATACTAACTAGCACTGTTTGACTGCAAATCCCCCCCCCCAAAAAAAAACTATAATGTCTTAAATGTGCCTCTGCCTGGATTTCTGTAATTCGCCTCTCCCCTCTCAGCCCATGCACCTAGGCCATTTTATTCTGGAGGGTCTTTTTGATCCGAAGGATATATTTTTAGGAGGGGGAGCTGCCAGAGGCTAGAGGGATCAGAAATGTGACCTTACACCAGGGGTTGGGGAACCTCAGGCCCAGGGGCCGGATGCAGCCCTCAGACTTCTCTCATTGGCCCTCAGGACTCTTCCTACACCACACAATCTCTCCCTAGCCCACACGCCTATGGGCTCTTTTGCCTGACTGGAGTGTGCCCTGGAACTCTGAAAATGCCTATTGCTCAGCTGGATGGAGGATAGAAAGAGTTGTGCAAGTCTATATAGCCTGTTGTGAAAAGGTAAAATCTTGCATTCATGGCTCTGCACACTTTTACTTCTGATCCTGCTCTCCACTGGCATGTGGCCCTCAGAAGCTAGCCTAGAAGACAATGTGGCCCTTGGGCTAAAAATGGTTCCCCACCCGTGCCTTACATTCATGCCCTTTGAGCGGAACTTCTCTAGGCTTAAGCCTGTGTAGGGAAGTCCCTCGTTCAAACCTTTCTTCTGTCACCAACTCACCAGGACGCCATGCCAGAGGGAGGAAATAGTGTTCCCGACAGAACATCTAAGCAAACCAGTCCAGAAGAGCCCTCTCTAGCATTACAAACAATGAACTTCCAGAGAGTACAATAAATATGTTTATTAGTCTTTAAGGTGCCAAAAGGCCATTTAGCCAATGGGTTGGAATCTGCTTTCTCAACTACTAGCCCCTTCTCAAAATGAGACATGGTGTGCTTATCTATTTGTCAGGGTGTTGTATTTCCAACGGTCTTCTTATCTTGTCTGAGCATTGTTTGCATCTGATTGGTGTTGTGTTTACAGTACTTCCAATGCCTTAGTGTCACTGACTTGATAATAAATGTAAAGTAATTTCCAGGACATTAGCCATGTCATTCTTCTGCAAAGAAAAACAACAAACAGTGTTGCAGCACCTTGAAAATTAATTTATTCTGACATAATGGCTTTCATGATCTATCACTTGTGGATTGAAACATATATATGTATTTAGCACGTTATATGTGTTAATAGGCTTACCAATGCCAGAATGTCTGTGCCATTGTTGTTTAAGCCGGAAGTGCAACTGAACTGAATACATATCCCTCACCTGTGCTCATCTAACCTGCCCTTCATCTTCCTTTCAGAAATTGGTTCCTGGTCCAATATACATCGCCTGGGAGTCTTCAGATAAAGCAAGGCCCATAAATATTTGGAAAGCAGTCATTGTTGACCTGTTCTGTACTGGAGCTGGTAATTTGGAATTTAGAGTATTTTCCCCTTAGTAACTACTTTCCTTTTATTAATGCAGAATTTGATGGCAGAATAGTGTGGTATTCAATTTTCCTAAATCTGTTTTTTTTTTTTTAAGATTACCTATTGCAGTTTCAGACTCTGGCTGTGTACACACCATGCATTTAAAGCCCACGAGGTCCCCTAAAGAATGCTGGAAACAGTAGTTCACCCCAGCACTCTTAACAAACTACAATTCCCAGGATTCTTCGGGGGAAGACATGTGCTTTAAATGTATTGTGTGCTTGCAGTCACAGTTAAGTAATGCAATGACACCTTCCTATGAATCTTGAAATGTTATATCCCCAGGATTAACATCAAGGGCCCAATAAGCCTTGTGTATTCATCTGAACCAGTCATTTGTATGTAAAAGATTATATTCATAATTTTCTAGTTACAGTGGTGTAAGTCTTCCCATAATTGTTAAATGTAGAGCATGATGGCTGTGCAGAAGATCACCTAAACAGAAAGAGGAAAACAAAACAAAGGTCCTAACTCAAAAGAAAGGTTCAGCACTCGCCTTTGAAAGCATTATTCACTGTGCAAAAAACAAACAAACTCAAAACCAACCAAAATGTTTGTCTTTTTTCAGGTCTATGAATGGTTTGGGTTCAACGTCTTACATTCTGTTTAGATTTTGTAATTTATATATTTTTCAAATGAGGAGGCAGATGAAAGGGAACAGATGGCACCAAGGTTGGCGATTATTCCAACAGCTTCAAACTGGCTTTCTGTAATGACGCTGTGTGAAACTTCCAAAAGATTGAATTTGTGTAAAACTAAGCAAATACGTTTGGTCCCAGCGCCTGCCAACCTAGCAGTTCAAAAGCACCCCCGGGTGCAAGTAGATAAATAGGGACCGCTTACCAGCGGGAAGGTAAACG